TTAGTCCTGATTTCCCCGGTGCTGGTTCCGATCCTGAACAGGTTGTTTCCTTTGAGTTCAGACAGGTGATAAGAGAGCAGCGCATTGTATCCAGAGTCTGCGTCTACAGCCCTGATCTTTGCCACAAAGTATCCTGCTTCAGCAGAATAGGGGATGCTCTCACTATTAACGGAGCCGTGCTCAGAATAGGGAGAAAGAATTGTTGGATTATTATCATTTTCATCCGTTATAAAAACGTTGACAGTGACGTTGCTGCTGAGCGGAGGAACACCAGAGTCCGTGGCCTGAACTTTGAACTGGAAAGTTTTTAACTCCTCATAGTTAAAAGACTGCAGACTGATAATGTCTCCAGTCTCTGAGTTGACGTTGATAACTGATCCTAATACACTGTTTTTATGATTGCTGTCTTTAATTACTGAAAACGTTACTTTTGCATTTTCGTCTACATCAGGATCATCTGCAGTCATGGTATAAATAACAGCGCCTACGGGACTATTTTCTTTGACAAAGATGTGTATCACAGGTTCTTTAAACTGAGGTGCGTTGTCATTAACATCAGAAACGTGCACTGTAATAACGCTCGTACTGGACAGGGGAGGAAGCCCTTCGTCAGTCGCTGTTATTGTTACGTTATATTGAGAAACACGTTCTCTGTCTAGAGTGCCGTCTACGACTAAAGAATAATGATTCTTATATGTGTTCTTAATTGTGAACGGCACAGAATCAACTATTCTAACCTGAACAACGCCATTGTTATCTGCGTCGTAATCTCTCACCGTTATGAGTCCAACCATTGTGTCTAAGGCTGCGTCCTCCCTCACTACGTTGACGAGAGATGTTATTGATATTTCTGGTGGATTGTCATTAACATCTGTGATTTCAACCAATACTTTACAATTAGATGCTCTTGGATTTGGACCTTTGTCTTTTGCTTGGATCCTTATTTCCACTGCACTGTTTTTTTCGTGGTCCAGTTCACCGTTTACTGTAATCTCCCCTGTTATGGGATTAATGGCAAACTTATCTACATCATTGTCATTATCTTGGTTGATAAAAGAATACTGTATTTCTCCATTAAGACCCTCGTCTAAATCTCGAGCATGCACAGATATTACGGTCGCACCGCGCGGCGTGTTTTCCAGCACTGTGGCTTTGTACAAGGGCTTGTCAAATATTGGAATGTTATCATTCACGTCTTGGACATTAACTGTGATACGTAGCGTGCCTGATTTGGGAGGTTTTCCTCCGTCTGCAGCTGTCAGTGTTAATTTGATAATTGGCTGTTTTTCCCGATCTAAGGTTTTCTGTAGGGCCATTTCAGCAAACATAGTCGCCTCTCCACCATTCTGCACATCCAATGTGAAATGTTCATTCTGGCTCAGCTTGTAGCTCTTAACCGAATAGGTCCCGACATCTGCATCGAAAGCCTTTGGTAGAGCAAATTTTTCACCAGGAAAGGCTGACTCAGACACGTTCAATACTATCTCCGGTATCCGAAAGGAGGGCGTATTGTCATTTATATCCACAATTTTAACCTCAAAGCGGTATAGATTCAGCGGAGAGTTCACAATGGCTTCCACTTCCAGTGAGCACTTCACATTTCGTGTGCAGAGCTCCTCTCTGTCTATTCTGTCTCTCACCAAAAGCAAACCAGTCTTAACGTTGACTTCGAAAAACCTCGTATTAGGTCCTGAAATCTGAAAACCTCGGCTTTCCAGTTCCTGCACATCGAGGTGTAAATCCTTCGCCAAATTTCCCACAGTGGTACCCGGGCTGGATTCCTCCGTGACGGAATACACGATCTGTGCTGCTGCGACACTCCATATATGAAATGCAGGGAACAAATAATACATCCACTGTCGGAAAATACTCCCTTGTTGCATTCTGTTAGAGACTGCTAAACAAGTTGAATCGAAAAAAATCACTCCAGCGGTAACATTGCTCGTTAGTAGTGCATCCAAATCAAACCCCCTCAATACAGAGAGACAGCTCTATACTGCTACGACGAACAAAGAATCGCAAACCCTCTTTCAAGGGAGGAGCGTCGCACAAAATAAAACATATTGAAACTCTATGAGCTAATAGCGACATCTTGTGGCAATGCTGAAGTCAGAGACAAGACACCATGAGAAGAGATGATTAAAGTGTTTTGGTGTAGTTAAATATGTCCAAAGTAATTTTACAATGGATTAATTTTAATTTAGCACCAGAAAAGGGACAAGCTCCATCACCTGGCTGTCAACCAAACGTTGGATGCTAGAATGGACTTTTTTAAAAGGAATGGGCAAAACACTAAATTTAAGAAAAGTTAATGTAAGTTGTTACATGCCACAAACAGATACTAGAGTAAATGAGCAACAGGTCATTGAAAGATGAAGAGAGAATATAGCATTCTAATATGCCTCAGATGAGTATTCTTAAATTCCACAACAAGAAAAAGCTGCCGGCCGAAGAACAATGTAGTTGATGACTTAGTTCAGTTGTTATCTTTATATGACAAGTGACTTTACAACATTTATGTGAGGAAGTAAAACAAAAATCCTTAATAGCGCTACGATTTACATGACACCACCCTTACCTTTTCTTTGTTGGGTAATGTCTGAGTTCTGGTAAAAGTGTCTCCTCCATTAATACTGATCAGTTCACCATC